ACTTGTGCAAAACCCCCGAGTGCTAACGAAAATGTAACAACGCTGTCATATGCACTCAGGAACGCAGACACAATGGGGCCACAATGCTGGTTAATCTAGCTCTGGTTTCACTTCACCAACAACAGAAATCCTTTTAGAGGTTTAGAAAAGGCAGGGGGGCTTTGTATTCACTGCATGCTGCTGCACACCTGCCATCACTCTCTATCTCTGAGTCACAGCTCTGACTAGTCACCCTCACTCTTTGAAAAAAAAGTTGGGTTTTTTTTTTTTGCAAACACACGTGCACACGAGCAAAACCCAACAGAAGGAGTAGCACCTGCATCTAAACTAGGCAAAAGACAACAAAACCACCAGCAGAGATTCGCATTACTAAATAACATGTACACAGAAAACACATGAAGCCAATAGTAAATGCACGCAGGTGCAAACACACACACCTCATCTTATCAACCTATAAAAAGCTGCAAGGTGAGTACTTGTCGATTTGTTTGTGCACGTTGCCGTTTCTGTTGCGTTTGCGATACAACACGGCCGCGCGTGCTCCCTCTGCGGCCTCTTATTCCCCCGGTGGAGATGAAATGTAATGGAGCCGATTCAATAAGAGCGCCGCCTCCTCGGAAAATGTGGAGAATCAAATCACACCAAATCCCTCGGAGCCTTCCCAGCATTCACTGCTGCCTCGTAGTTGGGAGGGGAATAAAACAATGGTTGCTAATTCACTTGGCTCTTTGCACACTTATTCTCACACAACAGGGGCAGAGTGTGATACAGCAAACGTCGAGAGCTAATAAAGCTGCTTAAAAACATGCCGTCTACATTATGTTTTCACTGAATTCGGGTAATTAATTTCAGTAAACACAAAAGAAGCACCCAGTGAGTGAGCTGGTAAAACTTTCACGGGATATTGTCTCCCATTACTTCTTAATTACGCTTCCTAGGCTACAAATGTTACCAGATGCCAAGTATAAATACTAAAAGCACTAGTCGCAATAGCGGGTAAACACTGGGGGAGAGGGGATAAAATCACCACACTTTGAACAATATTTAGCTTGGCAGGCTTCGGAAAGCAAAAGAAAGAAAATAATGTCTCAGCAGTGAGGTTATGCAATTTGGTTGAGAGCCAAAACAAAAACATTAAAAAAGAAAGAAAAAAAGACTGTTTTCAACCTGATACTACACCGTACCACCTACGCGGTAAACCACAGAGTAACAACTAAAACATCATGTGCTCCAATATGCTGTCTCGCTAAAATATGCGGCTGTGGATATAAATAAGAGACATCTAAGAAAAACATTTTATCCTGAAAGCAGCAAAATTTTGTTTCAGGCTTGTTGCAGCAGACTGCTTGAGCCTATAGGACTGTGTGGTCATTTTCCTTAAAGCAAAGGAAACGGTAGACGGCTCCCAAAGGCACACACGAAGCTCCTTCCAGCCTCTTTAGTTGTTTTTGTTTTTACACCACTGCGGTTAAATTGAAATTTCTGACCGTGTTTTGTTTGAAGGAAAAAGAGGCAATTAAAAATGAATTCCACTGGATATTTATGCAGCTGCAGCTACTTTTTTTTGCGTTTCCCCTTGGAGTGACCCGCACGACAGCGCTAAGAAAGCCAATAGTACGTTTTACAGGCCCAGAGGGAATTAAGAGACTAACGGGGGCGGTGGGATTCTGGTATTCTAATCTGGACACTCGGGAATATTTTTAGCCTTATTGTTCGCTGTGTTCAAAGTGACAGACGAGGTTACAGATGAATTTCCTTTTGGCTAGAACGCGTTTGGATAACATGTTTTGGGAAGATCAAGGTGACAATGCTGATGATCAGCAACTATTAGTAGCAGCAGAAGGAACAGTGGTAACAGGAAAAAGGAAGACTTGTGTCTTGTTCGGTGTCGTGTTGCCTTGTATTTAAGCTGTTTTGCCCCTTTTTGTGTTATTATTAGTCTTATGGCCTGTCAATCATTGTGTTATTCTGTGACTTGAAGAACAACTGGGATAATAGGTTACCATACTGTAGCTGGCAGGCCTCGTATAGACTACTGCAACACATTATTTTCATGCCTCACATGAACATTCACATGATTTATTATGCTCTTTTTTTATGCACGTTTACATACTTTAGCATTGCGATGCATGCAGTTCTGTTTTTGCTCTGCATCTTATGGTTTTCGCAGAGATCGGCGTTTTAATTTGTGCTTTGTGTTTTCAGTGCAAATCAAAATGTAGCCATGTTAAAAAGGATACCATGCGAAGATAATTATTATATTTATGTAACATGCTGAACCTAGATCGCTCTGCCACAGCTTTGTCTTCTTCAGTTTTACTGCGAGTCATAATCTTGTGACAGTCACAACATCGCGGCACCAACAAAAGGCGCACACAAACAGCAGAAAACACAACTGTGACATTTTGAAAGCCATGATTTGGGGCGTGTAATGGGCACAACTTAACAAATGGTCAGAGATCAATCTGCTTTTCTCAAGCAAATAAACAGTTTCCTGGTTTGAACGATGTAAAAACAGCGAACGCAACACAGAGCGACATCCTGTGCACGTCGAGCATTTACGCTGACTACAATGAAACCTTTCACACGCGTGCCATTTTAGAGAGAAGTGTTAATGTTGGAGGAAAAATAACATTTTCCTTCACTGCCTGCTTCTAAGGACATGTTATTGCTTTGATTAAATCTCCACAATCCTCAAGCTCTGATATCAGCTCACACTGCCATTTGAATCCCACAATAACAAACCCCCCCTTCTGTCAGGTGAGAGCCCCCCCACGCACACACTCTGCCACCCACCCTGATGTGCTTGGCGTTGCAGGATCTAATTCACTTCCTGTTCAGCAGAGGGGGGCAGACAGGAAACAGGAAACGTGCTTCCCGAATCTCTCAAAAGCTATATTCTTCTAATACTCGTGGGAGATGAGAAAGGAACACAATATCTTTCAGACGTTTGTGTCCCCGGCTGCTACACTGCTGTAATCAAAGCTTCCTGAAAAGAGCAAGTGTTCCGGGGGAGAATAGGTAGCTAGGAGGACATTATGAAAAGAAACAGTGTATCAGCTATGTGCAAAATTATAGAAAATTCTTTATTGAAGCAAGGAAAGACTTTATTATTTGCTCTGAAACCTGCCAGAGCCACTTACATTATCAGAAGAGACCAATATTGGTTACATTGATATCCAAATGAGTCACGTCTCTTTTAAAACAGTGATGTCTTAGAGAAAACAACGAAAAAAGCTTTGTGAGCATGATTTCAGGGATGTATTTGTCGTTTTAATTCCTTATTTGTTGACAAATGTGACCGTCTCTTTACAAATCGATTCATAGTTTTCTTTGTAAGAACACGCAAACTTTCCATCACAATTTTGTCCTCAACTTGCTTTCTCGGTCCAGAATCTCCACATTCAACTTTACAAAGAAACAATCAGAAAATCCTTATATTTCCATATTTGCAAGTAGTAAAGACTTAAAATGTTTGCTTGATGAAAGAGATTTAATTTTCAAAAAAATCTGCTTATTAAAATTATTTCAGCCTAATCCATTTGCCTGTCGCCGATCCTAAACTGCAGCAGCATTTCCACAAAACTCATGCTTCCCCATCTCTAAGAGGTATTAAACTAAGAAAATCCCAGTAGTCTGAGTGAGAGGGAGGAGAAAAAACCTCATTAATTGCTTATGTGGTAAATGAGTGAAATGGCTACAGATTTTAATAAGATGATGATGATTAAAGCCTAAATCACGGGTGAATTCCATCACCTAATTAAATAAGGCTTCGTATCTGTAATGCTAGTATATCATCTTCTGTTGTGCATCTGCATGCCTTAATACAGTGCCACATCAGGGACTGAACAAAAAATAAAAAAGGAGGGAAGTGTGCAGTGACAACAGCAGCACAATGAATTATGAATCGATACGTGCTACGGCACTCTTGAAGTAGACACAGGCTGCTGAGGTCATCTGGGGATGCGTGAAAACCACAAGGAAGACAAACCCATTCATTCAGCTGTGGAGCTACTTGCCCGCACAGACTACGTTTCTGCTGCACAGCAGGTTTTCCTCAATTTGCTTCAAGTTCCCCAAATCCATCTTAGGGCCACGAATCTCCGCGTTCATCGATCGGAGCAGGATTGGGGAGCAGCTCAGCTCAGCATGCAGTGCTGAGAACTCTGCTTCTGACGACCTGCATGATTTTTAAAACAATCTGGCTTTTGTTTGCTCTTTGCTGTGGAGTTGGCGTTTGGTTATGCGGGGGAGTCTCGTGGTGCCATTTGGCTGCTCTACAGAAACAAAACAGTGTCAATGACAAAGAGGCTCTTTATGTCAAGTCAGGGTGATTATTTTAAAAATGACTGACAGCTCTCAATTAATGAGACCAAAGGTTTGAGCTGCCAGTAGCTCAGGTAGTATTGTCCGTGGGAAGACAGGAAAATGATGGAAATGCAATAAAAGTGAAAAGGTGGCAATAAGGTGAAACCAACAAGAGCACAAAAGACAGCGAAAGAGAGGTAGAAAGGTCAAGAGAGACAGAAAAAGAGACAGATATTCAAAGGTTTCCATTCACTCACTGCCTCCCCCGAGTATTCCCACATCCCCCTGAGAGCAGCTCATGGTGTCTAGCAGTCGGCGAGCTGACATTTACCGCCTGCCTTCTGTTGCTGTGATTATTTTCTCCTCCAGGTGTGATAGCTAGCCTGCCGTCTCTGTGCAATAATGCCGCCTCAGAGTTACGAGAGCTGGGGAGGCGAGGCGGAATGAGACCTGGACAGACCTTTTACTGAAATACCACAGGTGAGCCGCACTTTGGAAGTACAGGTAAGAAGGTTGCTGAACTGTGACTGGCAGCCCGTCACCTGGCTTAGAGGGAAGTGGCTTCTGAGGGGGAATCTGACTCCAGAGGTATTCATGAATTAATTTTGCCAATACTAAAATAAATAATAGAGAAATGAAATAAAATCCACACGAGTCACAAAACACTTGAAATGCATCAGTTCACTTCTTACCTGTCTGCAGACGGAGGTCGCTCGTTGCGCGGCTTGCTAACTTGGGTGTAGAGGGTATCGGAGTGCTGGTGCTGTGGATGGATGTGAGGGTGCTCATCACGGGGGCTGTGGGGGCGACTATGGCCACTGTCCATGGAGCTGTTAAGTTGGTTGATGCCAGCGTACTGGTGGTCCTCCTCAGAGGATCTCTCCGGCGATCGACTTATATCCAGAATCTCAGCGTAGTCTCGTTCCCTGGCCTGACGCTCCCGCAGCTCTCTGGTCTTAGCTTGGATCCTGATAGTAAAGATGATGTTTACATTAAAATCCAATAACAATCTTGTGGTTGAAATGATCATATTAAGACATAATATTGTCGTTTATCCCAAGTAAAAATCTAGGCAATGTCTGATCAGTTGCATTTTGTACTTTTCCTTAAAAATCAAGGTTAAAAAAAACTAACCAGGAAATGTATTTATTATACATTTACTATTGGGTGATAGGTTTATCCATTGTGACCCACTGGCAGAAGCCTGGGGGCTGTTGTTGTTGTTGTTTTTTAAAACTTTAAGGTGAAAAAAAAAGGGATCTTATCTGCTAAACTTCGGCTCGAGGAAAAAACTTTACTCTTTGGCTTCTTCTGGCAAGTGTTTGCTGGTTTACTCAAATTACATTTCTGGGTCCTAATGCTCCTTTATTTCAGTAAGAAAGCCCTGAAGCACCTTTTAGAGCCATTTCTTCACCAATAAGATGGCTAATCTAAAAGGCATTACAATAAAGCAACATTCAGACCTGTATGAAAACAAGGACTGTATGATGGTTAGCCATAAGTTAGCTAGCTAGCTGAAGCATTTCCAAAACCACAACTGTGGATGTAAAAAAAGATGGAAAACTAAACACCAGTGATGTCTGCAGGGTTAATAGAGATGTGCTAAATGAGATATAATCTTCTAGCTCATAGGTAGCTCAAGAGCCATGGGTAGGCTTATATAGTTGGGGAAGATGTAGAATAATCGCTCAATAAAAGTGCATGTCGAGTCCCCAATAGGGAGAGAGAAATGCCATCAAAGTTGAATAATTCTTCAACACAATTTTTGTGTCTTTTGGGATACAGTGGAACCCCGACTTATGAATACCCCGTTTCACGAAAAATTCAAGTTACGAAGGCACTGAATAGCAATATTTCTGCCCGTGTTACGGCAAAATGCCAGAGTAACGAAATCCGCTGGCTCTGATTGGCTGAGCCTACAATGCCCACAATGCCTTCCGAATCATGTGACAACCCCTTGGCTTCCGTTCTTGCGCTTCGCTGTTCCACTTGAACGACGTATTGCTGTTCTAGTTAGCAATTAGCCTATAACCTATGGTTCACAGCATCGCTGCTGAATACGAAAGACCCTCGGGAACGAATTAATTTCGTTAGTCGGGGTTCCACTGTATTTTGAGCTTTTGGTTTGAAAAATTGAAGACATTTGAAGACAGCATTCTTTCAGAACAACAAACCCAATTCACTGAATAATTAATAATCCAAATAATACTTACTAGTAGCAGGTTCACTAATTATTTGTTTATTTTTAACTGCCAGGTTTCTGAGTATGATATTTTCAGTTGTCTGGTTTCCACTGGCCATTGACAGCAGCCAACTATAAATTGTAAATGCACACTGCAACTAAAAAAAGAGAACGGATGTAGGGCTTCATGGAAAATTGGGATGGTGCCTTACTTTTTTCTTTGTATATAAAAAAAAAAAAAGTCCTGTAGCGTGTCCAATCTAGATGAGAGATGCTGTAAATCTCAGTCGTCACATTAACAAAACACCAGATGAACCATTGTAACATCTGCTGATTGGTTATTGCACTTTTTAACTTTCCATTACAAAACAGAGAGAAGATCTGGAGTCTATTATTTATGCAATTTTCCCCACTGAATAATACCATAAACAATGCATGACAATCTCTTGCCCCCAATAACACCTAGCACAAGGGAAGCATTTTGTATTCACAGAGTAGCGCTAATATATAGCTAACATGCTTTTCTCTTTCTTTCTCCCTCAACAACACACGCAGACACACATCTGACATCTTTCTGTCTGTCACGCACACACAAAAATCACACATTCGCTCTTTCTCTTCAGGCCATTATCTTGTGAATAACTGGCAACGCTATTTTCTATAGCGGGGGGACTACCTATCACGCAGCCCCCGTAATTACAGCCTTGCCAATTATCAGAGCTTTACAACTACCAATTATCATACTGCTCTCTTTTCTGCAGGCCTCTTTTTAATGGCAGTGGGAAAGTGAATGGGACAGGCGCCGTGGTGACAAGGTAGGGGGGTGCAAGTGCACTGAAAACTCAGTGGGCTAAAATCTGAAACATTTCCTCCAGAAAAATTGCATGGTGTGCATAATGAAACAATAACTAATAACGAGGGCTCCCTACCAGAGACTACAAAATGTGTTAAAAAAAGGAAGAAAGGAAGAAAAAAAAAATCAAGGCCAAGTGGGCAGAAATGCTTCACTACTAAAAAGTAGGCTGTTAATGAACTTGATGGTTTCAACGGCTCCCCACTGAATCTGGTCAGGGGGTAGACAATCATTTGTGGCAAAAACGTACACTTATTCCAACAACTTAACTTGAAAGCTTGTGGAGTCGCACGCTGTGTCTTTGCTATTTGTGGACTCAGCGATTATCTAATAGCGCAGAAGGAAGTGAGGCCCTTGAGGGATCTATCTTTAAACCCAGAGGAAAAACTGTTTTCCATCAGTGAAACAGCAACAGCAGCAGAAGTAGTGGGAGCAACTACTGATTGTATGCACAAGCACAGTGGCTGATAAGATAAGGCCAGACATACCAATCCAACGCACGGCCTTTTCTGTGCAGCCCCTTTCCATAACAAGGCACTGCATGGGTCAACAAGGCCACTTGCTGAGTTAGGAGGATGCATCATTGAAACACTCGTGCTGTGTTGTGTGAAAAAGAAACTCTGAATTCTTATGAGCTTACGGATAAAACTATACTATCTTTACGTTTTGCTTCCAGGAAGTTAGACCTCCTTTACATTGTCAAACTTTTTCAAAACTATTCTTCCCACTTAGTTCTCTTGGTTTTGTAAAAGTCTTTCAATGTTTGTTTGTTTTTTTAACGTTAGCTGGTTTTTCCTCTCGTATTCATTCGATTAACTGAAAGCATGGAGTATGTCCCTGAGGAAACTGGAGCCCTCAAAGACAAAAAGAAGACTTTTTACAGCAGATCAGAGTCATGTTCTTAATAAATATGAAGAAATCCAGCAAAGATGTGACACAGGACCTGAGAAATGACCTGGCCCTTCAGTTGATCCATCTCGTGTTGGCCAAAGACTCATCAGAAATGGCCTCAAAGGAAGAAGCCATTCATAACGGACCCTGACAAGGTGTGTCATATTACACAAGAACTGTACTGACATCAGTGGCCAGAGGTTTCACAGAGTGATGAACCCAAAATGGATATTTTTGGCTCAAGTTGTTATCAATCCAACAGTGAATGTCTACAGCCATCTGTAAAACATGACAGAGGGTCTGTCATGGTCCGGAACTGCATTTCAGCCGGTGAGATGGAGCTCTTGTCGAAACTGACAGAATTATGAACACAGGAAAATACGGCCAGATTTTGATCCACCATGCAAAACCATCTGGAAAGTCACTGATTAGCAACAGCTTCATTTTTTAGCATGACAAGGATCCCAAACACGTTGCCAATGCAATGAAAGCATACCAGTATAGGAAAAAACACACAGTGGAACGCCATCAATCATGGATTGGCCTCCCCAGAGCCTGTGAGAGTTCAAGCTGTGGTGTTGGGGTCTGTTTTGTTTTTCTGCACCCATCTTTTTTCATCTACATAAGCTACATATACATGACCAATAGCTGTCATTGCCCAGAAAACAGCAAGGTGTCCAACTTTTCTGAATTACTTTTAAAGAGTGCAGGAAATGTTACTTTAAGACAAAGACCATGACTGTCTGTGTCAACATGACAAGCACTTAAAATGTTTCACAAACACAAATGCAGCGCTGACTGAAATGGGACAGGAAGGAAAACCACACTTCGCCATATCATTACCCTTAATCCCAAAATACCTGCATGTGACAAGGGATTTCTCTTAAACAAATAACCTTAATGACAGATGAAAGAACTCTTACCGTGTAGAGTAAATCATTAAGAAATCCAATGAGAGGTGGCAAAAGCCCAGAGGGGGAATAAAAACAATGTAGAGCAGAAAGAGAGGAAGAGGCGGCAGATAAAAGGGTATAGAAATGGCAGAATGGGATTTTATGGTAGAAGAAATTTTTGACAAGTGACCTTTCTACCACATCAAGCCAGAACAATGGTCCATTATGTGCTATTGTAGTCATTGTGTAATAAAGCGTTCTCTTACCGGTACTGCTGACACAACTGACAGACTACAGTGAAAGGCAGGAAATACATGAAGGGAGAAGGTCCAGCAGGACAAGATGGCTGCTGAAAGACCTTTTAGATTGATAACACGGGTACGTGGAAATGTTCTATGATTTAGCGACAACTAGCTGCAGTTGGTTTTAAAGCACTTGTGATTTTTGAAGGTTAATACTAAAAGTGTCTGACAATGCATGCCTTAAATATCCTTAATTCACACTTCTGTGTGAATTAAGGATATTTTTAGAATCACACACACACAAAATGCATTGTACTTAGACTGACGCTGTTCATCTTGAACAAGAGTAGCAGTACTGAGCAAGTGTTGAGGTCAAGGGAAGTTCACTGTGACAAATTACTTCATATACAGCAAGTCTGTGGTATAGATTGAACTTGTAACCTCTGGTCATGTGACTGCTGTTTAAAACAGTTATGTCAGAGCATGATCTGATTTAGTCTACAGACGGCTAAGGCAAAACCTGCTGTGCTGCCCAACGAAAAACGTTTATCTGGACTGATCTGGAAAAAAACCCAACAATCAAACGATAGCCTGTGAGCTAGCACTTAGCGATGGTTGGAAGAAGGGTTTCCATTATAAAGGGGAAAAGACCTCTAGCATGATCAGAGGGCCAGCAAGGAGAAAAAACCAAATATAGGAAAAAACAGAAAAAATGTAACCATAAGCAGTATTGGTATATAGGGAATGAAAAGATGTAAGTGGAGAAGAAATGCTCAGTGCATCACGGAAAGACCCCAAGCAACCTGAGCCTATATCAGCATAACTAAGGCGATGGTTCAGGGTCACCTGACAGAGCGACAACTACAGGCTTTATCAAAAAGGAACATTTTAAAGCTGATCTTACTAT